CGCCTCGCCTGCGTACGCACGCGCCGTCCTCAGACCCCGCGCACGAGCGCCCGGATCCCCAGGCAGCCCCTCTGCCCCCACCCCGCGCACGCGCCGCACGCGCCGCACGCGCCCAGCGCGTCCCACGCCCCGCGCACGCGCAGGCCCCTCCTCGCGGCCAATGGGCGACGCCGCCGCTTATCCGCTGTTTATCTGCGGTGCGTCGGCCGGCGCGCGTCAGTCTGTCGGGGTCCTGGGCTGCCGCCGCCGCATTTGCTGGGACCCGCGCTCGTGCGTCAGCTCCCGCCCGTCTTCTCGCAGCGCCCAGCGCCCACCCGGTCCCCGCCCCGGCCCGCCGGCCGCAGCGCCCTCCTTCCGGCGCCATGTCGCAGAGCGGGACACCGGGCCTGCAGGAGGAGAGCTTGCAGGGTGAGCCTCGCGGGGGAGCCCGGGGCCCCGGGACGGCCGCCGGAGCCGAGCCGGCGCCTGTGGGGCGGGGGGCGTCTCTGCGCGCCGCGGGCGCGCGGCTGCTCGCTGTCCGCGGCGGGGCTCGGGGCTGCGGACCTCGGCCTCGAGTCCGAGCCTCCGCGCCAGGCGGCGGGGGGCTCTGGGGGACGCGGAAGGCCCGGGCGGGCCCTCGGCGGGGCTCCCGGGCGGGGTGGGCTGGGGCGGCGTCGGCCTGTTCCGCTCTCGGATCCCAGCGACTCGCCTGAACCCCCCAGCTCGGGGCGCCTGAAACGCCGCCTTCAAGCCCCATCTTGAGCGCGAATAGCTTATAAAAGGCCCCGTTCTCGCGTCCTGTGGGTCGGCGCAGCCCCGGCGGGAGCCCAGGGCTAAGTGGGGCTGCGCGGGCTTGAACTGGGAAGCGCTGGGCTCCCGCGGAGGAAGGTCGGGAAGGGGCCGCCCGCGCGCAGACGCGCCGAGGCCACAGCTGCGCGTCCAGTGCAACTAACGGACGGACCGCTTGTCAGCGGGGGCGCAGGCGTGCGATCGGCGTTGTGTTAAGCTCACTCTTGCCAGCGGCTCGTTCCAAAACGAAGCTCGGAATTGACTCGCGGGCCGCAGGGCAGAGGCGGGACCCGCCGGCGTCCGGCCCTGGCGCGGTCCGCGGTGCCCCAGGCTCTCCTGCCCGGGGCCTTGCGCCGTTCCGGACCCGCGGGCTCGGGGGGCGCTGGGCCCCGCTGCTGTGTCGGTGGCAGCCTTGAGGTCCGCCCCCTGGGCTCGCCTCGGTGGCGCTGCCTCCCAGGCCTGGGTCCCTCCGGCCACTCAGGAGGCCGCAGAGTCGGGGAGGAGGAGCCTGCGGCGGCACCTGGGCTTCTCTGCGAGTTGACCGGGCCGAGCGAGCGTGAGGGCGTTTGGAGAGGACTGTTCAGACCTGAGAGTGACTTGAAAATGCTTACGTTATTCAGAAAATGCCAGTTCTGTTTCTTAGTCCTTAAAACAAGATTTTATTTTTATTAGGCAAGACTGAATTAGCCTAATGCATTGTATGACATGTATTTTAAAAGTACAACCACATTTTTATTTTTTATTAGTTTCAGGTGTACAAAACTTAATAATTAGACATTTACACCCCTCATAAAGTGGTAATCCCCTCCCCCAAACTACTACCTCTCTGATATCGTATATATCGTGTTGTCGGAAAAGTCATGACGTATTTTTTTTATGTGTTAAGTTGCAAAAATGCATCATGGCTTTTTTGACAACCCAATAGCTGTTAATACAATACTATTGACTATATTCCCTATGTTGTATTTTACATCCCGTGACTATATTTTTATTTATATGTCTGTGTGTGTGTGTGTGTGTGTGTGTATATATAACTATATATAACTACATATATATAATTGTAGTTGACGTTTAATATTATTCTACTTTAGCTTCAGGTGTATTTAGCTCAGTGGTCAGGCATCCATGCAGTCCATGAAATGGTCCAGTACCCATCTAGCCCTCTACCTAATCTTCACAACACTATCGAGTATATTCCCCCAACTGCAGTTCACATTCCCGTGATTATTTTGTGACAACCAGTGTGTACTTTCTAATCCCTTCCCCTTCTCCCCCATCCCCATCCCTCCCATCTAGCAACCACCAGTTTTTTCCTCTCTATCTCTGAGTCTGTTTCTGTTTTGTTCATTTATTTTGTTCTTTAGATCCCACATTTAAGTGAGATCAGCTGGTATTTGCCTTTCTCAGTCTGACTTACTTCACTTAGGATTATATTCTCTAGGTCCATCATGTTGTTTCAAATGGTAAAATTTCATCCTTGTTTATAGCCAAGTATAATCACATTTTAAAAATCCTGTAATCTCCTTAAATTTTGAAATAGATTAGGGAATTAATCTTTTCTGTCTTTTCTCACACAGCATCCAGGGGGTATTTTTATAAACTCTAGTCCTCGTAGTTTTTTTTTCCTAATTATCAAACTACTTAACTTCTAACACTGTATCTCACTGGTTCAGATTTAGCCTCAGGAAGGGTCTGAGCCCTCGTGAGGGGGCTCCCCCACTGACACATCAAACTGCTGAGTCATTGGCAATGCAAAATCGCCAGCTCAGGAATTAAAAGATTGGTTTTGTGTTTTGCTTATTCTATAATAAGCTGGTTACACAGGTTGTGGAAACTCATGGTAAGGATTCACGAGTGTGCGAGTGTGTACGTGCTGTCGGGCACTCCGCTCCTCACTGTCCAGCTCCGGGTGGGCGGAGTCAGTCATTGGACAGCCGCCCCATGAAATGTGAGCCGCATGGATTCTGGATTAGGCTGAGCTGGCTTGTCCTGTCTGCTCTGTTTTGATTTGGTTTGCTCTTGTTTACCTCACACGACAACTGAGAAAACTTTGGCCGCCAAACTCACATCACAGACAGCAGCAAACGTTTTTCCCTTTGCTTGTATCTGGCACCAGATGTTTTCCCCGAGGAGTGAACAGCCAAACGGATGTGTTTTCCCCCTTCCCCTGGTCCATTCTGGTTACAGCTGTTGACTTGCAAGGTGTTCTGTGCCTTTTTCTCCATAGATGCACAACTGCTGGCGTGCAGGAGGGGACAGACTTTTGTGATGTTATTGGGTCACGGTGTCATGGGAGGGGTGCATGACTGACTTCCCTGCAGGCCCCCTTCTGAGAAGAGCTGCTCATGCAGTCAGGGCCCAGCCCTTTACTCTGAGACACCCCACCCCTCTTACTGCTATATCTGGGGACAGTTCTGTTGTCATGGCAACTCATCACGGACGGAGGTGTATTAAGAGAAAAATAATTGGTCTTTATTTGGAGGGGAATTGTGTGTGCAGCTTAGGAGTATAAAGGGGTTTCAGACATTAAATCCTAGCCCACCCCTGCATTTCACAGATGGTTGCATTGAGGCCCAGAGGGTGAGTGACAGCAGGCAAGGAAGAGTCAGGGGCTCGCCACTGAGTGCCAGTGGGGTACCGGGAGCCTGAGTGACAGGCTGCATTAGACAGACCCGATCCTGTCACCCCGCCTGGCAAAAGTGAGATACCCAGCTCCTGGTAGGAAGCAGGGGTCAGAATTATCTGTTCAAAATCTCTTGTGGGGCCGGCCGAGTGGTGCGATGGTTAAGAACTGGCTTGGGACGCCAGAGGGCCCCAGTTTGGATCCCACATATGAGGGCCAGTGACACTGCCCTCCACAGCTAAGATGCTGAACAACAGCTCAACCTGGAGCTGGGCTGCTGTGAGTCGCCGGTGACAGTGTAGGCTGCAGCCCCTGTGGCAGTGGGTTGCCATGGGCTACCGTGTGTAGCCATGGGCTACCGTGTGTAGCCAGCAGCCAGCGTGAGTGGCCAGCAGCTGCAGTGAGTGGCCGTCCAGGAGCCGGCGACTGATCTGCCTCGCCCGGGAAGAGCACAATGATGGTGTCAACTTGGGCCAGTGAGGCAACGTCCTCCACAACTAGACTGAAGAACAAAAGGACAGCAACTTGTCTGTTCCCCTTCCCCAATTCCCCAGCACTGTTCCCATCCCCCCAATTCCCCAATAAAAATCTTTAAAAAAAAAAAATCTCTTGTGAATGAAGGGTCTCGTGTGAAGCTTTTGAATTTCTTTAACCCCACCCCTCCCAGGGAAGAAGCCGTGTGATTGGCCCGTGCTCCCTGCCAGCTTGGTGGCTGCTGGCCTCAGGCCTTCCCAGGATGCCATGCCTTCCGGAACCTCCCTCCGCCCTGACCCTGCTCCCAATGTCTTACAGCTGGTGTGTTCCCATGGTGTCATTCCCCTGCCAGTCGGCTGCAACCCTGCCCCCGCAACATGGCCATTGTAGCTTTTTCAAAATATATTTGCTGGAGTGCGCCCCAGCACTCCAGTAAGGATATTCAGAGTGGGGGCCAGGCTCCTGGGGAACAGAGTAAAAGCAGCACAGGTGAGTCTCCTTAGTCATGGTTGGGACCTGCTACCCCAGACTGGGGTGAGGGGTGGCCTTTGGAGCTCTGTGGGGTGCACCTGGGTATGTCGAGGACAGTGCGGCCAGGACAGCCCGGAGTCTCGCAGGACAGGCAGGAACTGTGGGGGCACTTAGGTCAGCTCGTCTGCCTTGTCCGGAGGCTAGGGTTGACCTGTGTGTGTGAGCTGTGCGGTGCCCGTGGGGGCGGGTGAGTGGAGGTGGACGAGGGCCTCGCAGCCCTCAGCAGCGGTGTCTGCTTTCTTCTGAGGCCTAATGATACCAGTGACTGCCTCGAGGATTTGTGGTTCTGAGCGAGGTTTCTAGGGTTTGAAGCAACCCTGATCCCATCTTTATTGATTAAAAAAGCAGTAATTGCAGGATGAGAGTGGGTTAACAGCACACATTTTCTTTATTTCCACAATGCATGTTTTCCCACTTGTTGCAGGTTAATAATGAAACATTATCCTTTAGTAAATCATTCTTGGAAATACAGCTTTTGGACCCAAAGCTTTGCTGCACACAGTGCAGATGGGATTGTTTTTCTTTCTCAAGGATGCTTAGGACTTTCTGTGAGGTGATTATAAGAAGCATACACATATTTGTCTCCATGGAGTCTTGAGTTGGCCCGTGACATAATAAAATACACGTATGTCCACCTGAAACCAATATGTCCTGTGCCAACATCGTGTATCTGAATTTAAAACGTTAGTGTTTGCTGGCATAGAGCTCTAAAACCCTTGGGGGGTCTCTCGAGTGGCAGTAGTGCCTTTGTTATTCATAGAACCCCTTTTGTAGGGAGCCCCTTTGGAACACAGGAGGCCCAGAGGCCCTGGCTAGCCTCAGGGTGGGGGTGGGGAGGAGCCCCCTGTGATTAGAGGGTGGGAGCCCAGCACCCAGCCCCTGCAGGGAGGGACGGGCTGGAGGTTGGCTTATGAAAACTGAACAGCCAGGTCCCAGAGAGCTCGTTGCTGAACACAGAGGCCGTGCCCGGGACAGGGCGCAGGGAAACTCCCTCACCCCAGACCGCGCCCCGTGTGTCTCTTCCACTTGGCTCTTCCTGAGTTTTGTCCTTTCTAATAAATGGGTAAACAGAGTGTTTTCCTGAGTTCCGCGAGTTGTTCTGGTGAATTACTGGAACCTGAGTTGGGGCGGGGTGTTCTAAGGACCCTCGAGTTGTGGTATGTCAGGCAGAAGTGTGGCTGGCGTCTGATCGGGGGGCAGCGTTGCTGGCACGAAGCCCTTCAACTCGTGGGACCTGACAGCAGCTCCAGGTAGTGGCAGCACTGAACTGAACTGTGGGACAGTCGGTTGGTGCTGGAGAATTGGTTATTGGCGTGGAACCCCCACACGTGCCGCGCAGAAATGGAATAAAAAGACAGCACCCGCCGCGGCCTCCGCATAGGCAGACAGCGGGCAGCACTGGCACTTGGTCGGGTGCAGAGCCAGCCCGGAACCTGAATAGTGGATTGAGTCTAGAAAAATGGGGCCCAGCGCGGGTGCCCATGCACGTTCATGGCACGGGGCCAGAGCTGGCTTGTCAGCTGGCTGGGTGTGACCTTGAGTCCAGGGAAGGAAGGGGGCTTGGGTTTTAATGCGCATACCTCAGGGTGTGGACGCAGCAGAGGCTTTGGAAGGTGGTCAGCAGCCTGATGAAGGCGGTCAGTCAGGTGAGCGGGCTCTGGAATGCTGGTGTGGAGAGACTCAAGGTCGTCACCTCTGCTGACACCAGAGGCTGGCTCAGTGGCCTGGCTCCAAGACCACCTCCTTTGTGTGTGTCGGTGACGCACTTGTGTGGACCAGGTTGACAGGAAGCTACCTGAGAGGCTAAAGAGAAAAGTCGTGTGTCATCTGAAAACTGTGTGGTCATTTTGTTAGCAGCGAGCTGGAGGCTGCTGTCCGCCCTGCAGGGTCTCATCTATCCTGGGCCCTCGACTGCTCTCTTCCCACTGATGTGATGTATTCTGCAACTAGCAGCTTTTGAGTGTTAGGCCAGGACTGTCGGATCTGCCCGGTGCTTCAGCCAAGAGGCGGTGATGAATGGGCACCTGCCCCCCGCCCCCGTGTGGTGGCATTAGTGCCGTGTTGGTTTAAGGACGGAGTGGCAGCTGTGGCTGACGATGGCTGTAATAAGTGAGGGCGACTGTAACCCTGTTGATTGAGTTTCTGGGCTTCTGTAGTCTGCCTCCCCGCTCCCTTTGGCACCCGTCCTCCGTATGCCACCAGAGTGATCGTGGAGCAGGAAGTGACTTGGGGGGATACACAGGCTCCTGCACAAAGTGGAAAACTGTCCTGGCCCAGACACAGGCCTGGGCGTGATGCCAGCTCGGTTTCTGACAGGAAGCAGCATGGCAGAGGGAGCAGCAGAGGCCGTCTTGTTGGGGAGCAGAACGGCCTGACCCGTTTCAGGTCACACAACACGTGAAATATGGGCTTACCAAACCCGGGCTTCACAAGGGAGAACAGGAACAGCTTTTTGAAAACAGTGCAGTAGAATATCTTCATGACCTCGGATTAGGAGGAGACTGCACCTGTGACTGAATGAGAATCAGGCGTTTTGTGCTCATCAGAAGACATGAAGGGTGAAAAGATAAGCCACAGTGAGAGGGATCTGCAACACTCACGCGAGGAGAGACTCAGGATCTTGACTGTGGACCTCCTGCAGACAGACGGCCACTCGGTAGGGAGGAGTAAGAGGCTTTTGCTGTGCAGGTGGCCAGTAAGTGTGAAAAGTGTTCAACATCACTAGAAACCAGAGAAATGCAAACAGACCATGCAAGGTGGCACCACACACCACAGAATGAATGGCTGAGTGTGAGGACCGATGGTCCCGAGTGGGAAGTGACAGAAATGCTCCTTCGGGGAGGATGGTGGTGGTCCCACCGCCTGTTAGCCCAGTGGCCGCCCCAAGTGGTGCCGCAGAGGCGAGGGCACACGGACGGACAGACACCACGAGGGAGGCGCTGCTCACAGCTACCGCCTGGAAGCGAGCCGCACGTCCAGCTGGGCAGACCAGGGCGTGGCGTGGCGTGGCCGCACCATGGGCCCCTGGACGCGGCAGCAGGGCACGCCCTGCCCCACCTCCCAGCGCACGCTAGCTGGCCCCTCAGTGCAACCCCAGGAGCCACTGGTGGGTCCGGCCCTCTTACCTGCGGGTGTCTGGGTTGCAGCCACACTGGACCCCTCAGTCCCAGGCTCTTCCTGTCCTTGTGGGACGGGCCACAATTGTTTCCATCTTCCAACGATGCCACCTGTCAGTCCCCCAAGACACATGTGCAGGGACAAGACCAACAGCCCTGGCGCCCGGCACTGCCTGGCATGGCCCTGTGTCAGGTTGTCCGTCACATGGGCACGGGCCCCCAACCATGGGTTTCCTCTGCAGGGCTGGGCCCGGCCCCTGCCTGGTCCCGGTGCACAGCTGCCAGCAGTGCACGCCCAGCTGGTGAGTGGCGTGGGTGTGTCCTGTTAACTTCAGGGACAGAGCCCGGCTTGGAGCAGCGGCGTTAGGTGCGGGCTTTGCAATTTGGTGGGGATGGCGGCTGCTTTGGTGGGACGTGGCGGTAAGCAGGTGACCCGGTGCTAATAAGACAGTTCTCTGTAACAAGTGCCTGGGTAAAATAAATTTGTTTGGAATATGTAACAGACGTCAAGCTTTCGTTCAAGTAAGAAAATGTGGAGCCAGCTTCCTGCAGACTTGGATGAACACATGCTGAGCGTGGCTCAATGTGGTGAATCGGGTTTGGTCAGAAATGGATTTGGTCATATTCAGTTTGTTCATCTGGCTGCCGGTGTCAGGAAATACAGAGCAGCCATCATAAATGACGTGTGCTGGGCCTTGGGGTCAGGACGTGTGCTGGTGTGCAAGCAGGTTCATAAGGGCTAGTTTAAACCTTAAAACCTTTTGAATCCCCATAGGCTTTGGTTGACACCCTTTTCTCAGTTCATTGCCAAAGAGCATTGTGGTCAGTTAGACTCGCCAGCTGACAGTTGGCTCCACCGATGGGCCTCGGGCGGGTGAAGGCAGACCCGTGGTGGGAGCGGAGAGGGAGCCGTGTGGGGGCCGGGGGCTCAGGCGACGGCTGGTGTGTCCCCGGCGCCTCTGCCTCTCGAGTGGACCACGTGCAAAGTGGGTAGAAAATCCCACCTGTGCCCTTGTTTTGTCCCCGTCAGGCTCCTGGGTGGAACTGCACTTCAGCAGCAATGGGAATGGGAGCGGTGTCCCCGCCTCAGTTTCTATTTATAACGGTGACATGGAAAAAATCCTGCTGGATGCCCAGCACGAATCCGGACGGAGCAGCTCCAAGAGCTCTCACTGTGACAGGTGGGTGCAAACGCCTGTCGTGGGCTGCGGTGCTGCGTGCTAACGTCCAGTTAACTGCAGCTCGGGTTTCCCGCCTCCTTAGACCAAGGCCCCTTGTCCTCAGGTGGGAGGAGGGACCGTGCCTCGGCCGGGGCGACACCGGACCACCCCTGTGTTTCTGCCCCATCGCCTTGACTGGCTTTGTCAGGCCGCTTGCTGTGAGTCTCTGTCCTTGGCTCGGCCAGTGAATCAAGGCCCTGGCTGAGTCTGAGACTGAAGGTCAGGGGTGACAAAGCCCACCCCCGTCTGGCTAGCCCGTGTCCCCGGGACTGGCTGATGCCTGTGGGCTTAGCTGCGAAGGTGGAGGACCAGGACCAGTCTGGGCGCGGCGGGGGGGGGGGGACCCCCGCTCGCTGGCTGCCCCTCCCTGTGGGGAGAACGTTAACGTGTCTGTGTCTCTCATTCGCATCGCTGCCCAGCCCTCCTCGCTCACAGACCCCACAAGATGGGAACAGAGTGTCGGAAACAGACAGCCACAGCGTCGGAGAGAAAAACAGCTCCCAGGTAAGGCCCCGGGAGGCGCGGCCGAGCAGGCTGGGCTGTCTGTACGGCGCGAGTTGGCAGCTTTGCTGAGGAGAGCGCGGTCTGGCGGTTAGGGTGCCTCTTGCCTTTTTAAAAAATATGTGGGATGAGGGCATCCCCACCACTCGGGCTCAGGGAGGACCTGTGGTGGGCCCGCCCCCCGCGTGCCTGTGGCTTGGAGAGGGCGCGCGGCCAGTGGGAAGAGTAGCGGAAGCCGGGTGGTGGCGGTCTGTCGGTTGGGTGGCGCGTGCCCGCCACTGTGGGCCATCCTCCCGGGCACGGTCGGGCCTGCTTGTGGGTGCCGGGCAGTTTACTGGGGAGCTAATGGGCTGGTCACTTCTCTGCATCAGGCCCTGGGGTGTGGTTGGGAGGGGCCGAAGCCTGAGGGCAGGTGTGGGTGAGGGCCCAGCGCCACGCCCTGCGCCCCTGCTTGGCACTCGCTTGCAGAGCTGATCCTGAGCTAGGCTGACGCTCAGGAAGTGCTTCCGGAGTGCTTTCAGCAACCACGATGCCACACCAGTCTGGAGCCAGCGCCACCCGTCCTGTCCTCCCAGGCTGCTGTCCCCTCAGCGGGGACAGGCGGGGTCATGGCCCCCAAGGCTTTGTCAGTGCCAGAGGTCCAGAACCCAGCAGGGGTCCGGCTGGCTTCGGGTGGTGTCGCTCCTGCATTCTGGCGTATTTCCCAAATGGTAAACAGTTTATTTCGGATTTTAAGAAGGAATTTTATGCTCAGGTACAGAATTTTTAAATGCTGAAAAGTAGAGAAAACCCCTGTAATCCTACTTTTGAAAGTCCCGTCTAATTGGTGTAGTATATTGGGTTGTCGGAAAAGTCCTGACGCCTTTTTGCAGTGAAAAACAGAGAAAACTACGTCATGACTTTCCCGACAGCCCAGTAGTTCCTAACATGGCGGGAATCGCGGGTGGACGGGGGCGCCTGGCTCCCTCCGTCCCACCGCAAGGAGCCGGCGGCTCGTGAGCGTGTGGGCTGCACAGCGGCTCTTGGCACAGCCGCCCCCGAGGTCTTGGGCCCCGCGTTTCCTTTCCTTCTGCTCCGGCCAGCCTGCGGGCAGCACCTTCGTGGACGGCTTTGTCCTCGCGTGGCACTGCTCCCTCAGGATGGTGTTGGCAGCTCTCAGTGCTGCCGGGGTCATAGGACCCTCACGGTGGCCCGCCTGTCCCTTAGGGGGGCGAGTGGCTGCAGCCCCCGCCCGCCGACCTGACGCCGGGTGGGAGGTGGTGCTGGCGGTGTGGGTGCCACACGCTCATGTGTTAACACTTTGTCTTAGTCTGAGGAAGATTACATTGAGAGGAGGAAAGAAGTCGAAAGCATCTTAAAGAAAAACTCAGACTGGATATGGGATTGGTCAAGCCGGCCGGAAAATGTCCCCCCAAAGTGAGTCCATTTTCAGTGTCACCAAATGTCCACGCCGCGGAGCAGGTCCGTGCCCTAACACGTCTCCCCGCCCTGCAGGGAGTTCCTGTTCAAGCACCCGAAGCGCACAGCCACCCTCAGCATGAGGAACACGAGTGTCATGAAGAAGGGGGGTGTGTTCTCGGCTGAGTTTCTCAAAGTCTTCCTGCCGTCGCTGCTGCTCTCACACCTGCTGGCCATCGGCTTGGGGTAAGTGGCCCGTGGTCACGGGGCTGTGGGTGTCTGTGTCTGCTGTCCGCCGGAGTGCCCCATGCGCTCTGAACCAACCTCCATGATGCAGAGCCGTGCGGGGCTCCCAGCGCCTCCTGCAGGCCCCTCGGCAGTGACACGGAAGCCAGCCTGTCCCAGACAGTGCTCAGGGGCCCGGTGGGCGTGACACTTGGCGCCAGAGCTGCCCTTCTCCTCCCCCTGCAGCCTCGGGGCGGGGGCGGGGCGGGCTGGAGGTGGGGGTCCTGCTGGGCGGCCGTGTTCTGTGGCTGCAGCTTCCTGGGCGGACTAGATTGTTACATGACTTAGGCTGGTGCCACGTGGCTGGAGGGCTGGCACCTGAGGCACAGAGGGAAATATGGTTTCAGAGCCCTGTGGCACTGGCACCCATTCCCGGTCTGTCCTGAGCCTCGGGGGAGAGGGCCCCTGGTCTGTCCGGAGTCTCAGGGCACTGAAGCCTGTGGGTCTCGCAAGGTTATACCCAGCCAGGTAGCCCTGCGGGAGGTGGGAGTGGGGCTGCTTTCCCTGACCTCTGAACCCGAACAGCTCTTCTGCCTGTGGGAGCGGCTTCCTGGCTGGGCCACAGGCTCCTGGACGCAGCCTCGGGGGTATTTATAGACGGTGGTTGACTCCTGGAGCTTCTCCAGAGCCAGCAAGTCAGGTCCTGAGGGGCAGATCTTCCTGTAGGGCGGCTTTCTGCAGCCAGCTCCCACGTGTGGGGGGGCCCTGTGTCCTTCTGGGCCGGCCCCACCCCAGCCCCCCGTGGGCTCCCTGTCAGGGCCAGACCGAGACCCACCCCCGGCTCATCGGGAGGCCCCACAGCAGGCGCACTCACCCTCCACAGGCCTGCTGGGAGCCACGTCGTCCTCACCCATGGCCTCTGAGGTTGGTGGTCATTCCCACCTGCAGTGACAGTCACCTGCCCCACGGTATGTGGCCAGATCAATTCAAAATAGAAGGGCTGTTGCATTCCGTTTCCTGTGCAGAGAAGACATTGAGGTGTGGCGTGTCCCCCTTTGTCCGAGTGCCGGGTGCACTGTTAGAGCACGCGGGTGACACCCAGTGGAAGCACCCACTTGGTGAGAGCTCATGGTTCAGCAGCAGTGTCGGGGGCCTGCCGTGCGGAGCGAGGACCGCAGCTCCAGGCCCGCCCTCACGGCCGCTGCTTTTCCCGTCCAGGATCTACGTGGGACGGCGTCTGGCCGCTTCCAGCACCTTCTGATGCAGGCTGGGGACTGGCCTCCGCGGGAGCCCGCAGCAGCGCCATCGGAGAGCTGTCTGGGTCCTTGGTGGCTGCACCGCTTGTTCATTTGTTCTGTAAATGCTGCGTCCCTAATTTAGTGAGAAGAAGGCTAGACACTGACCCACACTAACCTGTAATCATCACACCTATGGGATCAATCAGTCAGCATGTCCTAGTAGTATCTGCTGTAACCATCTGGTGGTGACGTTTCTCTGGCCACCGTAGATACCTGAGCATAAAGAATCTCACATAATAGTCATGATGGAGTATTTCAACACAAATGATCTATAACCTTAATTTGATTAACACACTTCGTATTTCGAAAGAACGAGTAACGCTGATGTTAAAATGCTACGTAAAGGGTTCATCCCACATAACTGTTGTGGCCTTACACTCACATGATAGTAGGAAATGCTGTGAGTGGACGCAGGCTGTCTTGCAGAAGGCGGGTTTCCTCCTGGTTGTCCTTAGTTGGTGATAAATGCAGCCCCCGGTACGCACAGAGTGGCCCGCTGGCCACTGCAGGCTGGCTGATGACCGGCCGGGACCGCTGCGGACGCCTGGGGTCCCTGCTCAGTACCCCCCTTGCTTCCCGCTCTAGATGCTGAATGGCGGCTTGTCTGTGTTCAGTTTTTGTGCGCTCTTAGAATCAGCTTCATTCTAAGCAAATCTGTGTTTACTTTAAAAGACTGGAAATAGGAAAAAATAAATCTTTGCCAAATCCTTCAGAGATGACTGTATTTACATATGGTTTCAAACGAAGTGCCATAAAAGTTATTTGATTTACCAGGTGTGCTCCCTGTTGGGTAATTTTCTCTCTAGCATGATTTTTTAAAGGCGGCCTCTTTGATATACTGTTTATATGCCGTTGTGTAGTGTTTCACTTTTCCACACTAAATTCAGTTGTGTTAAAATAAATGGAACATTTTAATTTTTAAAAATCTTTGTTTATATTGAATCGATTACCTTGGGACTGGTAGATTGCACACACAGCCCTTTCATTTGGAGACAGCTGGTGGAACACCCCCGGATTCTTTATGCAGCGAATCCTCTAAAGCGGAAGTCTGTGCGGTCACGCTGAACCATGCTGGCCACACGAATTCCCTTTCGTTTTACAGCAAGTGTTTGTCTTCCATGGGAAACAAAGGGGTTCGTTCCTCTGCTGTGTCTAGAGTGTCATGACACGGGGGCTGCACTCACCATGTCCGAGCAAGGTCAGTGTCTTCGGAATTAGCACCCCTTAAAGAGAGCTCGAGTCCCCTACTGCCCTATGAACCGTCACTCGGGCTGTCAGGCCCTGTCGCCGATGGCATTTAGTTAGCTGAGCTCTTAATGAAATGGGCTTAAGCTGTTTGTAACATGAGACAGGAAGGTCCGGTTTTCTAGCAGCTTTTCCATCACTGTATCAATACAGTGGGCATTTTATTTAAAATGATTTATTTAAAACCTGCTATGGGTTTGTATTTTTATCTCTCAGGCTGGATAATATAATAGTACAATAATTTGACTATAATAATTGACCTTTTGCAAATAGACCTCTTTTCTACTGTTAATACAAACAATACTTCATTTTATCCATTTTATAACAAGTAACAATACAAAAAACAAATGGTTTTAGATTTAAAAAATGAAAACATCGGACTGCTACTTTCAAAGGCAGTTGCCTGAGCCGGACGTTTGCTCTCAGCAGAGCCTGAGTTTGCAGACTGTGTGACGCATGTGTGTTGCCAGGACAGAGGCACATGGGGCAGCCTTGAGGGAAACGGCAGTTTCTTAAAATGATACCTGCACAGTCCTCATTCCTAGAAGCTGCTTCTCGGGATTTACCCCGAATGCAAACCTCTGACAGTTTGAAAGTGCATAGCACGAGGCTCTAAGTAAGTAAATATTAGTATATTCAGTGTAAACCGTTTGCAGCTGGAGCTCCTGTACAGCGGTGTCCAGGTGGGTGAGCGTGGTGCTCCCACAGTGGAGTACAGGGGTGCGCTGCAGCTGAGTGATTTCCACGACACTGTCCAAAGTGCAACTACCTGCATGTCCCCATGAGACAGGAAAGTGACAGGCATTTTGTAACAGCCCAGTCCTGCCACATTGGTGTCACTGTGACCCTGGATGTGGGGCTTCCCGGCCATCAGTGGGACGAGAGCTGCTGGGCCACTGAAACTGGCATTACGTCCCATTCCTGGAGCACAACCCCCACGCTGGTTTAGTCTGCAAACTCAGACTAAACCGCCCAGTGCAGGGGCCTACCTGGGAAGGACGGGCCATCCTGAGGGTGGGCCATCTGATGGGGACCCTCTGTGTCAGGCGACCTGCCCCAGATGACACCACTGGAAGAGACGAGATGAGCCCACTGAGCCCAAACTGCAGACTGGTGAACCAAATCACGTGTGAGAAAACAACACGCGCAATGCTATTGATGGTGCAAAAAGCCAAGAAAGCACACGTACCTGCTCATTTGTGCAAAACAACGGTGTGAATACACCAGAAAGGAAGATGGGCTACAGACAGGAGTAGGTGGGGACCAGGAGGGGGGGCGGGGACAGGCCGACTTCAGTGTAAGTGGCTTAGATCCACAGCACCACGGCACCTACCGCCTCAGTCAATAATCAAAACCAGGGCGGCCGGTGCATTCAGTGGTTAAGAGTGCAGGCTCATGGCACCAAGGTTGCCGGTTCGATCCCCACATGGGCTACTGAGCTGCGCCCTCCACAACTAGATTAAAACTACTTGACTTAGAGCTGATGGGTCCTGGAAAAAAACCACTGTTCCCCCCACCCCCCCAAATGAAACCAACGTGGGGGGAAGAGACGAGACCTGACAATGAAAAGCCGCGGGAAGGGTGGGAAGGAGGCCTAACCTGAAGCGCTGGGTCACAGCGGACAGCACTGCACTCCTGCTGGGAGAGGTGACATCCGTCAGGCCTGGGCGAGGGTCCTGAAGCTGCTGCGTGTACCGTCGCTGAGCACAAGCACGTCACGGGCAAGGCCCCAGGTCTCCCTGGAGGGCACGGCGCAGGGGAGGCTGGCACGAGCTGTGGGTGTGCACTAGAGGTGTGTGAACTCGGCTCTAAGGACACAGAAACCTGTCAAATGCGTGGGAGCACATGTGTGTCCGGCTCTGTTCAGTGACACCTCAGCAGTGAGGAGCTGGCGACACCCGGTGCTGGTTCCAAATACCCTTCTCCAGGAGCCCAGAGCTGCTTGGAGAAGGGAGTTCCAGGGCAAGGTGAGTGGGACCTTCCAGGATGTGCTCACAAGGTGACGGCATATTGAAAGGACCTCCTCAGGAGCCGACGTGCAGAACTCACAGTCACAGAGTCACGATCGTGACAGATGTGCCCCCATAGGCCAAGGCGGCACCAGAGGCCACTGACAGAGCCCAAGGACCGAGTAAGTGGGGAGTCACCGCCATCAGGCAAACACAACGGCCGTGTCATCAGTGGATGCTGAAGTTCACGGCTGAAGCTGCGAGGACGAAGGGTGGTTTCACTGTCCCCGAGAGTCGTCACAGAAAGCAAACTCGCAGCCTCACAGTGAGGCCGTCTGGCGACACCATCGGCCTGACCATGCATGGAAAAGGCCACGTTTCTCTCTTCTTGCCAGAACAGATAACAGCAGGTTAATCACGAGAAACTACCAAGCAAACCCATGTTGAGGAAGATTCTACAAAGGAACTGGCCGGTGTCAACATCACAAAAGACTGAGTGGCTGTGGGGGTTGGAAGAGGAAACACGACAACTAAATGCGACTGGAATCTGGTTGAGAGACGTTAGGAAGAACTAGGGAAATCCAAGGGCTGTGGACGAGCTGGCAGTCCCGCCTGTGACTTCCCAGGTGTCCCCACGCACCCGCGCTCACATAGATGTTGGTGTAGGGGACAATGGATGAGGGTTTGCAGGACTCTTAGGATTTTTGCAACTGGTTTAAAATTATTTCAAAATAAAATGAAAGAATGAAGACAAGTAGATGCTACCTTCTTACTCAGAGTGGTTCCTGGACTAGTGGTTCCTGGACCCGGGGTGGGGTAGGGTAGGGGGAGCTGGAACACGGCCGCCCAGCCCTGGAGTCTGACCTCATGGCAGCCGAGGAAGCTCCTAGTGAACGGGGCTGCTGTGGGTGGAGAGCAAGAAGCAGGGGTGTGCATGTGCTACCTGTGTGAGACGGGGGTG